GGGAAGAGAGAAAACACAGAGAGAGAGAGATGAAGAGGACCACTCGTCCGTCTACTGCATATATATATATATGTATGTATGTGTGTATGTGTGTATCTGTGTGTGTATTTGTGCTTAGTTGCGGCGACCGAGACCCCAAAGCCAGAGACCCTGAATGCAACTAGCAGCAGCCACAGACCGGTATGCACACACACACACACACACCCATACCCATACCCATACAATTTTCACAAAGGCATACGCACTTACACATACACACACACACCGACACTCACACTCATACATACACATGCACATGCACACAGAGGTGACGTAATGGCAACTACTCCACTAACACATTTTTCTACATTCCTGCAACACATGCGCCACACACACACACACACACACATACACACACACTGCAACACTAAACCCCACCCCAGCACTCCCCTCCTCCCATCTACCAGTCGTCTATTCGCCACTGCCGCGACGAAGTCGTGCAGACGAGAAAAACTGAATGAAAATTGCAGCCAAGCATGCCTAGCATAAAGAGTAAAAAAAAAACGGAAAAAAAATAACTAGGAGACAGCGGAACAGCAGAGAGAACCAGACGCAGACAGACACACACACACACACACAGAGAGACACACACACATACACAGACAGAGACAGACAGACAGCACAGAGCAGTCTGCTTGGTGTAGGATGCTAGGCAAATGGCTGCTGCTGCTGCTGCTGCTGCTGCTACTGTGTAGAGGGCACTAGAAAGACTGACTGAAAGCCAGACGTATGTGTGTGTGTGTGTGCAAGTGCCCGACATTCAAGGTTGACGGCGCACAACTTGTTTTCTTGTTATTGTTGTTGTTGCTGTTATTGTTATGGTTTTTTTTTCATGTCTGTGGCTGAGTCTGTGTGTGTGTGTGTGTGTGTGCGCGTCTGTATTGGTTGTGCTTGCTGTAGTTTCAGTTACAACAAAGCAAAAGCCAAAAGGCAAAAGCCAAACTCAAACGCAATATGCACAGCAGCAGCAGCAGCAGCGATTTCCAGGAATACTACACTAAGCATACACACACACACACAAACATACATATACATGCATGCTTGCATATGCGGAGGAGACCAAAAGCGAAAAGAAAGAAGAAAAGAAAAAATGTAACAGTAAAACTGAAGCCACAACTCGCAGCAGCGGAAGCCTTACGTAGGGCTTCGACGCAGCAGCGCTGCCAGCGCAATTGAGCTGTTATTTACAGTTAATCAAAATGACAGAAGTCGGTCGCCATTCCTCTTTCCTCCCTCAATCGCTCTCGCTCTCGCTCTCGCTCTCGCTCTCTCTCTCTCTCTCTGACTCACTCTGTCTTCTTTTATGTGTGTGTGTGTAATTAGATGTGAGCGCCCTTTTGGCAAAGCCGTCAACACTTCCGCTGGCCTTGAGCGACAATAAACAATAATCAACTAACATCAACTGCCTTCAATTGAAAAGCAGCCAGAGACGTAAAGCTTTGCATCTGTCTGCAGACGGATGACTCAGTAATATGTCCACCATCCATACACACACATACATATATATATACATATATATATATATATGAGGAGTAGTTCTAGCAAATTCTACGCACTCGTTGCGAGACGAGGCAGGCATCGATGATGATGACGCTGCCATTCAAACTGCTCCAAGGCCGGGCATGTGAGTTAAAAAAAAAAAAAAAAAAAACAACAAAAAGAAGACAAAAAGTGCAACAAAAACAGAGAAGAGAAAACAGCAAATACAAAAAAAAAAGAAAAACAGAGAGTAGCAAAGGGAAAAGATAGACAAGTGCGTGGGTCTCGCTCGCCTCATTCTCGGAAACGGTTACTCCAAGGCCACATTGCAAAGCAACAACTGCAACTGCTGCGCTGCAACAACAACCACATACTTCGCATAGGCCACTAAATGCAGCTAAAGGCGTTGCCTTAGTCGTCGTCGAGATAAGCAACCAGGCAGGCAACCAGGCAGGCAGCCAGACAGGCGAGCCAAGCAAACTAAAGAAAAGCAAAGCAAAACTGCGCCCGATAATTCAACACACGACTCTTTGCCTATCTGCCTCTCTCTCTCTCGCTGTTTCCCTTCCTCTCCTCTGGCTTGCATTTTATTATTTTTCTTCTGTATGCACAATCCTGACCCCAACTGCAATACCAACACTAGAGCAGCAGCGAGACAGAGACAGCGATACAGCGACTGTTGCACTTTTGTCTCTTTTGCCTTTGTTTTTTCTTCTTTCTTTTTTTTTAGTATTATTCTTAGTCTGCGCTCAGTCAGTCAGTCAGTTGGTCATTGGTGTCATGTGCATAGCTCACGCTCTGCCATCTCTCCCCTCTCTTCCCTATCTCCACTCTCCACTCTCTTGTTTCTTCTGCTTCTGCTTCTGCTTTGGCTTCGGCTTTTGCCGAAGGGCTTTTTGGTTCGGTCTCGGCTTCTTTTCTTTTCCTTGGCTGGCTGGCCTAGTCTGGCCAGGTTTGCCTCCGCCAGTCTTGCCTGTGTCTCTGTGTCTCTGTCTCAGTTTACATTACACTCGTCGCTTGTGTTGGCAACACTGACACTGACCGTGGCTAATTCAGACCCCTCCCCTTCGCCAACCCTCCACCGCTTCATAGCCAAGAGCCACATGTCTTGTAATATGAGCTGCAAGTCGCATTGTTAACGGTAAATGCTTTCTCGTGGTGAACATGTGGCGTATACGTAACACATGCGTATGCGAAGGACAGACAGATAGACCGACAGACAGTAACAGTCGGTCAGTTTGTCAGTCTGTCAGTCAGTTTGTCAGTCAGTTGTCAGTCATCGATTAGCAGTCAGCAAATCAAATGATCATTGAACCCGTTCCTACTCAACAATGCATTCACATTGCTAGCATTATCGCCGACCTGTGATCTCACTATCTCTCTCTCTTTCTCCCTCACTCACTAACTCTCTCTCTCTCTCTCTCTCTCTCTCTCTCTCTCTCTCTCTCTTTGTCTCTCTCTTTCTCTCTCTCTCTCTCTGTCTCTGTCTCTGTCTCTCTCGCTCGCTCAGCATCAACGATCAGTCAGAGTAACGGCATTTGGCGCACGCAAAGTTGCCAGCCCCAAAAAAAAAATTGTAAAAAATACGCAACCCAGAATAAGTCACATGGCATTCAACCTGGCCGAATTTATATGCACAAATATGTATATATATAAATATATATATATATATTAGCTATAGCTTTAGCTATAACTACAGCTACACACATATATATGTATATATTATATATAGAGAGAAAGAGAGAGTGCGATATAGCGAACCGGTCATAGTCACCGTTTATGCCCCATTCCCCTTCTCTTTACACTCCTTAGCACACACACATATATACACACACACGCATAAGACGATCGCTGTCGCCGTTGACGCTGCCATCGCTGTCGAAGCGATTCATTTCCATTTCCCAGAGCTGAGTACGAGCGCATATATTTTTGCTCAACACATTTTTATCTAATAACCTTGTGCAGTGTTATTAAACCCAAAAAGTTTCTTAACCTCACCGGCAAAGCGGCAGCAGAAGCGCAACAGCGGCAGCGACAGCGCAGCGCAGTTGCGTCGACCGACCAGCTTGTGATGAGAAATGCTAATACGCGTAACGCTCTGCTCTGCTCTGCTGTGCTCTGCTCTCTGTTCGTATGCAAGCCGAAGCGCGTATGTGTGTCGTGCGCACACACACAAACACACATAGTGTGCAAATATTCAACGACAACGCACAAAGCTTAAAAAAAATAGCTTGCTCACAAATACAGATGCAGCTGCGAATGCAAACGAACAGCAACAATTTTGGGGGGGGTGGATGGGGGGCAGTCTTCACTTGGGTCCTACTCTTAATAGGCCTTCTCCCCCGCCCCCGACACACACACCCTCACCTCCCACCACTAGGCTGTTGTGTATGTGTGTCAATTGAATACAATTCTTGCAGTGAGTAGGAGTTGGCTTATTTGTGCATACATATGTATGTATGTATGTATATATATATATATCTATATGTACACATGCTCGACTTCACACAATTGGCGTCCGCTGTGTAAATTGCAAAGGCAAACAAGCAAATTGCATGTAATACGAATTAAATTGTGCATAAGTGTGTAAGTATGTATATATGTAAATGCATACATACAAAACATACATACATGTATGCATGCATATGCATATGCCTACATAAATACATACGTACATACACACTCAAGGATTGAGCGAACGAAATAGAGAAAGGGAGAGAGCGAGAGCGGGTAATGCGCAGCTAACTTTTGTCTTAGCTTTTGCTCACACACACATATATATATATATATATATATATACTCTGTATTTTGTTGTTTTTGTTTTTTTTGGGTGGCTGCTTTGCAAAGCATTGCGTTGTAGGCTTTTGTCCATGCAAGCAAATTGTACATGCATTTGTGCATGTGTATTTGTGTGTGTGTATGTGTGTACTTGTATAATATTTTTTGTTGAAGTGAAATCTTTTGCCAGCTTTGCATTATTACTTTTGAAAGTGCTTTGTTGCGTTTTGTAAAATGAACTGCAAAGCGCTGCGCCAGCTAATCGACGAATTTTCTTTTTATTTAGTTTTTTTCTTTTTTTGTGTAGCGGCAGTCCTTTAATTCTGAATTAGTTAGTTTTTAAAAACACACACACAAACAATACAAAGAGCGCATACAAAAGAGAGAACGTAAGGAGAGAGAGCGTACAGAGAGAGCGCAGAGAGAGAGAGAGAGAGTTGAATGTGATCAGCCCACAGGCCCTCAGGCCAACCACAATCATGCACAATCATGCATATCAACGCAGCAGACGTCACGACGCGTCCGCAAAAAAAAGGTGAATGCACGCAGGCGGCAAATAAGTTAAGCAATAAAAAAAAAATAATAAAAAAAATACATACACAGAAGCTGATTATTGTCTAGAGTACACACTATCAACGCATTTGATGCCATCCTCAATTCAACTTCTCCACAAACTAAGAATACAGTTACCAAAAAAAGCTCACCTCAATCTCATTTGTGCCGTTGACTTCAATTGTGTCATGTTTGCTGGCGCATTCGCACACACTTGTGCAATTTACAGTTCAATGATCATTAGAGCCTCACACGGCGGGCCAATAACTGATTACCAGCCGCAGTCGGCGGTTATCAAGTGCGTCTGACTGCGACAACAATTGAGCTTTTGTTGTTGTTGTTGTTGCTTTGTTACACTTTTCATGCAGAGCGTAGAGATGGTCAGGGCGGGTACGGGGGCGCGGTTGGTGGTGGGGGGCTGCTCTGAATGCGCTCTGACGTTGGAGAACGGAGCCGTTGAACGGGTGAGCGAAACGGGCGCGAGTTCAAAGCCCTCCTCACATCGTAAACGACTGACGACTGGCGACGGCGACGGCGACTGACGACTTTGAGGAAAATTACAGCGCACAAATCACTTCCCCTTCCCATATTTGAATTGCATTGTGTGATAGAAACACACATATTATGCACATATATATATATATATATATATATAGGTAATTACATATATACATCACACACATACACTATGTACATCAAGCGTACATTGAACTTTGACTAATTTCTGCGATAGATGAAAAAATACAAAAAAGATTGCATTTTGCAGCACTGCATGCAACACACACACACAGGCAGACACAGAAATAGATGCAGACACTCTGAAAACTATTCCGTAAACGAAACTAACGACAACCAAAGCCAAACGCGTCGCACTCTCAACTAAACGTTGCTGGAAAATGCTCGCCTCGATCTAGCGCTCTAGCAAAAACTATTTTACGCTCAAGAGCAACAGCAGCAGCAGCAGCCACTCAGTTGGGGAAAAAAAAATAACAAATAAAAAAACTTACATTGCTAGTTTGGTTTTTCTGTGAGGTTGCTGAGCGCGGCGCTAGATAAGCAAAAGCAGCCAAAGCACTCAAATAGAAACTGAAAACTACAAAAACTAGTTGAGCGAGACTAGAGTGGGGATGGCTGGGGGAGCTTTCGAGTGAAAGCTGCACAACTAGTGATCTAAAGTTCAGTCAACGACGCAAACATGCATCAATGCAGTTATGCACACACATGCACGCATGCATATGCATGTGAATGACGTGCACCTATGCAAAAATACACATGTGTATATATATATATATATATGTTTGTGTGTATGGGCAATCTGTTTCTAGCGTTCGCTCTCGCTTGCTTTATACATATATGTGTGCACATGTGTGTGTGTGTGTGCGATGGTGATTGAGTTTTTTTGTTGTGTTTTTTTTCGACTTTGGCACGCTGCTGGCAATTGTGAGGTAAACGACCGAATGTCCGACAGACTGATGACTAGGTTAAGGTGAAGGTCAAATTAGCGAAAAATGCTAAAAACAACAAACGGCGCTGCCAAAGCTGACGGCGCAGTCGCAGCGGACTAACAATAGAAATCAACTTTGTCAGCGTTAAAGCGAACGAACAAAATACCAGCAGCAACAATAACAAAATCAACAACAACAACAACGACGAAAAGCGACTTATCCACTCAGTTCTTCAAAAAGCAAAAAAGAAGAGGAAATTGAAGAGTAGACAAAAAAAAAAGCAAAAGGCACGCAGGAGTAAACGACATACACACACACACACACACACACACACATGTATGTATGTATAGGAAGTTATTTGGCTGTCAGACAAAAAGCGGACAAAACTAAAGACAGACAGAGAGACAAACAGTTGTAGTTGTCTTTTATTTTTGTATTTTCTTTTATTTTCTTTCTGTCTGGAAGTGTACCGCAGCCGGCTCCTCGCCCCAGTGCCAGACTCCTCAGACCCCGTCATAGAACAGTCCCCACAGTCTGAGCTCATCCACGCAGCCAGTTCCCAATTCCAATTCTAATTTTTGCGTGGTGTTTCGCTACATGTTTGCCTGCGCATGTGTGCGTGTGTGTGTGTCTGGTCGAAAGATAGACAACGCCAACAAAGGAAACAAACAAACACACACACATACAGTGAAAACGTGCAGACGCGCAGAATGCTTCTGCGCCTGCGTCTCTTGCTATTTTAGCGTCGACTGTTTGAAAGTGTTTGCTTGAACGCCACGCGCTCACACGCCATGTGCTCTCTTTCTCACTCGCACACTCTCTCTCGCGCTGCCTACTAACGAACACACACACATGCACAAGCAGACAGAGCAACAATAGCGCGAGAAGCTTTTTTTCTGCAATCTAATGCGCATCGGTCTCCCTCGCTCTCTCTCTCTCTCGCACATTCGCACACATTGTCTCTATGGCAGCAGCAGCAGACTAAGCAGCGACTGAGACAGCAGCAGAGCCAATGGCAGTGACAGAAGCAGAGGCGCAACAGACGTTGAACGCAAGACCTTGAACTTGGACTCAGTTTACGAGTTGAAAAATTGGGTTTTGTTTTGAATTGTTTGCATGTCGCGTTGTTGTTGCTGTTGCTGCTATTGTTGTTGTTGTGCTGGCAGCTTGCTGCTATCACTGTCGCTTCCTCCCTTCCTCCCCCTCACACGCACACACACATAGGCATACACACATGCGTATATCGATTCATAGACGGTTTTCTTGGTTGAGGTTTTTAATTATATTTAATCACTCTAATCGAACAATTCAAACACTGATCAGCAGCCACACAAACAAAATCCCTTAAAATATGTAGTTCAAAAGAAATATGCAAAATTGTAGAGTTAAAAAGAAATATGCTTAATACGAAATATGCTAAATTTGATTTAAAAATACAAGCAATTCATACTGATAATAAGCATACATTAGAACTTGGAACTAGCCATCAAATTTATTAAGAACAATACATTTTTATATTCGTTATTTTTATATTAATTTATATGAAATGATGCGTGGACATTTATAATTAAAATGGTAGTGGATAATGGTAAAGTTTTCTCTGTATTCTAAACACTAAATACGATGCGTGGTTATATTTTATATATATAAATATATATATTTGGCGTATAATTATACTTGAAAACATTTCCACTTGAGAAACCAAACATTTTTCTTAATCTTTTCTTCATATTGAATATTTTGAAGAAGAATGCTTCGAAAAGCAGCGCAACTATTATGTGGACCGCAACTGTATGCTGTATGCTGTATCTATCCATATTTGTATTTATTTATTTTCTACAGTTTATCTGCAAAAGCAAAAGCAAAAGCAAAGCAAAACGTTTGCTAAAATGCAACAAACTCGTTTTCGCTGCACCTTTTGCTCTAACTGTATGCGTGTGTGTGTGTGTGTGTGTGTGTATGTGTGGGGCATCCCTAGCCACGTTTCTAGTTGCTGTTGCTATTGCTGTTGCTGCTGTTATTCCCATGCCGGCATCTGTCTAGCCTTTGTCTAGCTTACCATTCACCAAAAACACACATTCGCTTCGCACACACACACACACACACATACATACATACATACATACGTTTGCAGACAGAGCTTTCCCACTCCACATTGTATTTGTAATGGTCGTCGTCGTCGTCGTCGTCATCATCGTCATCGTCGTCATCGGCATCGTAGCAATCGTCGTCGTCGTCGTCTCTCGTTCTAGTTTTTACATAAAACTTTCGCTTTCACTTCTGTGGCTCGGTGAATGTGTGTGTGCGAGTGTGCATGTGTGCGTGAGTATGTCTGCCTGTCTGTCAGTATGTCTCTGTCTCTCTGTGTGTATGTGTGTGTGTTTTTCTGTTTGAGTGCGGACGTTAGATTTTACATTTGACCGGCATTATGTGAATGGCAATGGCAATGGCAATGGCAATGGCAATGGCAATGGCAATGGAGAAATGGGTAGATGGGAGGGGGAGAGGGGGCAGACCCAACTGTAAGCTGTATGAGCTGTAGGCACACACAGGGTGTCTCCTGCCACAACATGTCGGCAACAAGTGGCGATGTGTTTGTGTTTGTGACTGTAACTGTAACTGGAATGTGGGGGCTGACTACCGACTACCGACTACTGACCTTGTGCAATGAAGGCTCTGTTTGAACAAGTAAAGCTCTGCTTTTAATTCCCTCCCAACCCCACTGACCCCGCTTTTGCTCATTCTCACTCTGCTTATTATCTGCGGGCTAAGTGGAAGTCGCGTTGCCAAGCAAAAGCCAACTGATAGAGAACTACAACTAGAAGAGACTTTAAGGCCCGCTCTCTCTCTCTCTCTCTCTCTCTCTCTCTCTCTTTCTTTCTGTGTATGTGTGTGCTTGTGTGTTTAGTGTGTGTGTGGAGATATACAGAACTAACGCAGTTAAAGCTAACCTTGAAAATAGCAAACGCCGCACACATGGCGAACAGCAGGCCGAAGACCGACAGCATGAAGCGATAGTGGTGAATATAGATAGATGCACGACTGGCGGACACCCTGCTTTTGCATACATGCATAATATATTCAAATTAGTGCTGGTATTTATATATGTATAACAAATCACGAGAGAGTTGCTAACAAGTTTATAGCTACTACAAATTAAATGCGTTCAAAATAATAATAGTAGCGGTGCTTTGTAAAGCGTTTATTCCAAAAAATGGTGATAAAATCGAGACCTCTTCAACAACAACAACAAATGCGAATGACTTACGAGGAAAGCAATTAAATTAAGCATAGTAGTTCTTCGAAATGTTAATTAGGTGATAAAGCTTTTATATATATATATATAAATTGTATAGTATTTTTAAATCTTAATATTTAATGACGTTCAGTATTTGTTGCTTGTGTTCACATAAAAATTGCATAATTTTTAAAATTATATTTGAACCATTTTTGTTGGTTTGTTAACATTTTCGAACAAACATTTGTGCGCCCCTCTTATTTTCTCATACACATATCATAGAACTACAAGAATGCATATCGTATAGTATACACACACACACACATATATATATATATATATATATATATATATATATATACTTATATGGCACTGAGTGGTGGCAAAAAATTTAGTTTCGGTTTCTAACCGAACAAACTACTTGTCTATCTAATCTCATTTGTTTGGCGTTGCTGCTTTTTATATTTTTTTAAGCAGCACAGCGCATTCAACCAAATAATTGCTTTATTCACACACACACACACACACACACACACACGCACACAAGAACAAACAGAATTGCAAAAAATGAGGGAAAAAAAACTGCAATGCCAAAAAAAAGCGCGCAGAGGAAAAAAAAAAAACACTTTTCTAGAACTATTTTAAAAGCTGTTCGCTCGCAAGCAGCAGCAGCAGCAACAGCAGCGGCAGCAGCGTCGTCGACGTCTGCCTGCTCTTTCTCGCTCTAACGCACGTCCCAATCGTTGCTCGCGAGTGTGCGGCGAAATGCGCCAAACAAAATTTAATAATAATACAGCAAGACCAGCAACAACAAATACAGCGCAAAAAATGTAGTATTTAGCCTTGAAAGTTCGTAAACACTACGAATTGCGAATGCGCGCGAAGATCTTTTATTTTATTTCATTTCATTTCATTTTTTTTTTTACTTTTTTTTGTGCACAAAAAGTCACATCAGAAATGAAAATAAAACTCAAATACATTTCGAATTGGAACGAAACAAAACAACTTGATCAAAGAATTCGAAGCACAAAGCGAACACTCAACAGCAGTAACGAATGTTCCAACTTTACGACGCATAAGCCTAGATTCGAAATTCTCGGTTCTCGATTCTCGATAATGTAAAAAGCATAGTGTGTGGATCGTAGCCCACAAATGAAATCCATAAGTGAAATTCAAACTCACTTGCATTGCATACACACACACACACACACATACACACACACACACACACAATACACACAGAATTATATGCATAAATTGGCTGCATTTTCATAGCATTACTCGGCGAATGTGAGCCGAAATTTAAGACAAGCCAAAATGGTGATATTTTTTTTTATTTTTGTGTGTTCTATATTCCAATATTCTATAACGGGGCAGCTGCAGGGCGTCGGTCACGGTCACACGCTGCCCCCCACCCCCACCACCTACCTGCCTTACTCCGTACCTCCCATCTATACATCCATGCCTAAGTATGCATTAGAAACTTGAGCTTTTCCCACCGACATCGACGGGTTTCGACTTCGACTGAATTTGCGGATGCTTTCGCTGCAATTGCAACTGTAATGCGATAGCTTTTAAGAGAGGAGAGTTGTAGAGGGGGGCAGGCAGAAAGAGAGAGGCGCTAGGTGGAAGTTGCTTGCTGTTCGCGTAATGGTAATTAAAGGCGATTCTTACATGTGCATTACGTTGCGTTGCGTTGCGTTACGTTACGTTATGTTATGTTACGCTACGTTATGTTCGTATGCAAGTTGTAAGTCTGTCTGTGTATTGCTATTCTCTATGTTTATACATATGCATAAGTATGTGTGTATCTATGTATATATGCGTGTATGTATGTATCACTGTCTATCCACTTTTGTCATTATTAGTCAGCGTCTGCGTCAGCGGCGCTGCTTCTGCTGCCGCTGTTTCTGCTGCTGCTGTTGCTGCTGCTTCGTCGTTAGCAGCGGAGTTTTGTTCTATGCACAAAAGTCACACACATCTCTGTTGCTGTATATGCAAGTACGAGCGTGCGAGTGAGCGAGAGAGTGTGGGAGAGAGTGAGAGAGGGAGACAGACGAAAGAGAGGGCGAGAGATCGAGAGTCAGAAATTTATTACTGGACTGTGCCAAAAACTTTATTTGGCACTGCTGCTGTTGCTGCTGCTGCTACTGCTTCTATGTGTGTGTGTGCTGCAGCGCCAGTGTGCGTGTGTGTGTGTGTATGGGTCAGTGTGTGTCTACGTTCGGTCTGGTCCGTCACTATGAGCAGTTTGGTGGTGGGAATCGAAAGCACACATTCTAATACTCAAGTTCAGGTTCAATTCACTCTGCTCCCACACACATACGCACACAGATCGTATATATGTATTTAGTTCGTTCCTTTACCTGACGATCCTAGCTGGGGGCTTGGGGCTGAGATCGGACGAATGAGGGGAATGGAGGAATGGAGGACTGGCCAGAACAGTAACAGACGACGACGACTCAACGGAGCGTGCGCACGTCTGTTGTCCCGCTCGCTCTCTCCGTCTCCCTCTCTCTCTTTCTCTCTCTGCCGCTCTCTCACACACACACACACATCCAAATGCTGCTGTTGCCAAAATTTCGGTGAATAGTTTAGTGCTTTGTGTGTGTGTGTGTGTGTGTGTGTGCTTTCGACAATGCGCTTTTTTTTGTTGTTTTTTTGTGTGAGTGCTATCGCTGCCGCTGTCGTTGCTGCTGCTGCTGCTGCGCGACGCCGACGTCGACGCTGCCGTCGCTGTTTGCCTGCCTGCCTGCGGCAGTCGAGCACTCTCTTCTTCTTTAGCACGGCACGAATTCAGTTGAGTTTCTACGCTTGCAATCATCAAACGCAACGAAAACAATAAAAAAAACACACAAAAAAGCCAAAAAAGCCAACAAAAAAAAAACGCTGGCTGGCCGCAGACTGCTGCTGCTCCCAGGTCCCGTTCTCAGCGTGTTCTCAGTCCGTGCTGTGTGTAGTCATAGTTAGTCAGTGACAGTCAGAGCTTCATGCTGCTCGCGAGCAGCTCAGAGCCAAAGCAAATTCAAATTGCAAGCAGCGATCGCAACAATGCAACAGCAGCAGCCTTAAATGACACACTTCATCACACACACATAACTGTCTCCAATACAAATGCATACATGCTACATGCTACATGCTACATGCTGCATGCTACAGACATACCTCAATATAGTGTACGAGCACACATGTAGTTAAATAGTTTATAAGTGCGTCTTTGGTCGGTCGTTCGGTTCGGTTTCGGTTTCGGTGCGCGGTTCGGTAATTGATTATTAGAATAGTGTGTGTGCGTGTGTGTGTGTGTTATTATTATTATTATTATTAGTTTTTTTTTTGTTGATTTTTTTTTGCGCGTTCAGTGCCAAAAGTTATTTGCATTTAATGTCTAAGCCAAGATCTCAACATCTAAGCGAATAGCATTTCTTAAATTACCATATTACGTATACGCAAGCAAAATTTCTACCTCAACAACAACAACAACAATCCCAAACCCCAAACCAAAGCAAACAAAAGAACAGAACAACAACAAACACACCAATAATACAACAACAACAACAACAACAACAATCAGCAGCAGCAGACGCAGCAGCAACAGAAAAAAAAATGTTTGCTAAACGAAATTTGCACAAATTTGCCTACGACGAGCCAACGAATTATTGCACACATAATCTATTTCTGTTGGCATATTCGCAACAATACTGAACTATTAGAGATCCCCACAAACAATACAAATAAACACGCAACTAACAAGTCGGATGCTAAGCTGAGCGCAGCAAAAACCAAAAAAAAAAAAACAACAAAAAAATAAAAACAAAAACAAAATATATAAAAAAAACACGAAGGTATGCTAAATTGTGATTTGTGCTGTGTTTAAACACATCCATCGAATAGAGCACAATACATACATACATTCATACATACATATATATTGCCATTTGATTATACACACACACACACACACACACACACACAGACACAGACATGCGTCGTTCTATTCATAGAAGAGCTAAAAAGTGCAGCGCACTCATTCGCTCGCCTTGACTTATCTGATAGTTTTCACTTTCAATGTCATCGCCAGTGAACTGAACACGCGCGTGTGTGTGCATGTGTGTGTGTGTGTGAGAGAGTGAGTGAGTAGGCAAAGCTTCAGTTCACCGTTTGCCTATCGCCCACTTGTTGTCCGCCTCTATGAATAGCGGGGCCAAAGAGTGCGGGCGTAAAAAGAACAGTTCTCTATTTTTTTTCCTTCTTGTCTATATATATATATATATACATGTATGTATATATATGTGTGTAACTAATTTATACCAACTATTTTCTTAACCTGATTGGATTGCAACAAATGTTGAACCATTTTGCATTTAATACACCCAAATATCTTATAAATATTTCTTATCTTTTAATTGAATTTTAATTTGCAATTTGATTTGTCATTTAATTTATATACATTTCTGTATTCAGTTAACGTTAATTCAATAAATAGATAAATAAACTAATGTTAACAAGGATACAATAATGCGTTACAATAATAATAATAATTATTAGTAATAATGCTGACACGATTAACATGCAACAAGCCAACAAGCGTCTAAATCAAAAAGCGAAAACGAGCCCAAAAGAAACCACAACAAAATACAAAGAAGAAAAAAATGCAAAAATTGTGCCGCTACAAGTGTTTCAGTTATTTTGCGATGCGTTTGCTGTTTTCACTTGGTTCTTTTGATCGCGCTGACTGTTTTGCACTCGTTATATTTTCGAACGCATGCAAAACAAAACATACAAAATTAATTTTGCACTCGTTTTATTTGTATTTTGTCTGTTTGTGACTTATTCTTCTTCGTCTACTTTTTCTTCTTATTTTTTTCTTTTTGCTGCTGATAGTTTTTGCATTTCATTCCAATTTCGTTGTCTGCGTGTGATGTGTGATGTGTGTGTGTGTGTGACATAGAAATTGTCGCCGTGGTTGATATAATTTAAAATGCATTTGTTAACAATTTTCGAACATTTTGCATTGTTGCAATGTTGCAGCAAGTAGCGCAAATTCAAAACAATCATCATTTTTAGCAATCACAGCAGAAAAAGCACAAAAAAAAATTGAAAAGAAAAAAGTGCCCCCCAAATTAATTCGCAAACAGACATACAGTTATACACACACACATGTGCATATGCATATGTATGTGTGTTTGGATTAATGAAAAACAAAAAAAAATAACTTGAAAAAATACAGTTTCAGCGATCAAACAAGTTAAACGAGTTCGAATACTATAATTAACTTGAGCATTGTCTCCGCTGTGTCAGCTTTTTTACGAATGGTTTGTTTACACACCAATTGTAAATGTGATTTGAATCTAAATAGTCTTTCCACAATGCGTAATACACACACCATATTTAAATATATACATCTTAGTAAATGAATGCGCCTTAAAACAAATGGGTTCTAATTATATGCACATAAGTGTTATAGCTTTCCTTCCAATCAAACTAATTGCTCTCTCTCTCTCTCTCCCACTCTCTGTATTCTCTTTTATTGCAGTTCATTAAATAAGTCAACTGATCAACTTAGCACAATTTACGCAGCATTTGCGAACGCAACGCATAACGCATAACGGACTTGTGTGCGTTTGCGTGTGTGTGTGTGTGTGTGCGTGCGTGTGTGTGCGTGTGCATGCGTACGTGCGTGCGTGCGTGCGTGTAAGTGTGTGCGTATGTGAAGAACTAACGCAACAGGAATAAGAAGAAGAAGAAGAACAGGAAGAGGAAGAGGAAGAGGACAAGGAACATTTAATTCCCCCGGTGCAATAAAAAGCCGCCAAAATACGCAAAAAGGTGACTACAAAAAAGGCCAGCGTTGTTTCTACTGTTGACGACGACGACAACAACAACAGCAACAGCAGCAACAACAACAACAACATCAGCAACAACACCATCAATAACAACGCTAGGCAGCTGAAAACAGCAACAACAACAACAACAACAGCAACAACAATTGAGCTGCATAACACTTACCAACAAGAAGAACAAGAAGAAGAACAAGAACAAGTCAACATGGATGAAACACAGCATTTCTGTTTGAGGTGGAACAACTACCAGAGCAGCATCACATCAGCGTTCGAGAATCTTCGCGATGACGAGGACTTTGTCGATGTGACGCTCGCCTGCGAGGGTCGCAGCATAAAGGCGCATCGCGTCGTGCTCTCCGCATGCAGCCCCTACTTCCGCGATCTTCTCAAGGTAAGTGCAACCAAACAAGATTCATTTCATTTCTTTCTTAGTTTCTTAGCATAGAATTTGTTATCTTTCGCTTTTTAGTTCTACAGTTACTATTCTAATACATTGCCAGAAGTAGGGGGCGCGAGCAAAAGCACACATACACACACAAAAGCTTTGCACAAAAGCTATAGCACAGTTTACAGATAAATAGTTATCGATCATCAAAAACTCATGCAATGTTAACTCACTGTTAATCCTGTGCGGATTCTGTGAACAGTAATGAGCTTTGATATATTTTGAAGGCTATCGGTTATCGGCAAGCCACCATGAAAGCGGCAAGTGGCATCGAGATGGTAATAGTCAATTGCGAATGAAAAATGAGTTTAATCATGAAGAAAAAAGTGTACTTAATTTTATACATAAAATGATTGCATGTAAAAGTGGGCTTAAGGGTTAAAAGTGTGGCTTGGCTGCCACTGCTGCTGCACCAAAAGATCACAAACAGTATTTTCTGTCTTGCTTTGCTTTTATTTATTTATTAACGCAACTCTGACCTACATATTTATGGCAGAGAGAGAGAGACAGACAGACAGAGAGAGAAAAGAAACGCAAGCAACACATGTGCATCAGCTGCTAGTTGCGACGGAGTGAGATTGCTTTGCTTTGCCTTAAGTGCATCCTGTTTGTCATGCAACACACACACTCACACACACACGCACATGTACAGCTGCATGTGTGTGTGTGTGTGTGTGTAGCATGTATGTATAAGCAGCAAGCATACGCAGCGTTGGTCTGGTCTCTGTCCAGTGCCACAGGAGACAAGCAGCAAATTCCAAAATGAGGCAAACGGCTGTCGTCAGTTGTGCGGCACAGTTTAAATGGCAGCCTAATTAATAAAATGATGATGCCACACGCATGCAAACAACAAGCACAAATATATATATTAGTTACTATTGGCAAATGCATGCATGCATGCAACAGCAACAAAATGTTGCAAGTTTCGCAGCGACGTGGAAACGTCTCGTGCTCTTGGTGTAAACAGTTAAGGCAAAGTTTGTTTTCTTTTTTTTTTTAGCTGTTGTTTGGGTAAATAATACTTATTTTTGTGCTTTTAGCTAAAATATTACGGCAAGAATGAGTAAAATGTGCAAAATGAGCAAAAATGGGTAAAATGGGTAAAAATGGGTAAAATGGGTTCCCGTTGTGTGGCGGCCCAGGTTGCGTTTGCCTTCCTTTTTGCATTTTAATTTATTTAGTTGCGCACGACGGCAACAACAGCAACAACAGCAACAGCAGCAACAGCAACAACAACAACAACAATGAAAACAACTAACTACAACAGTAACAAAAGCCAAACAGACGACAACACGCCAAATGTCGACAACTAGTATGAGAAGCAAAGAAAAATAAGAAAAGAAGAAGAAGAAGCAGCAGCAGCAGCAGAAGAAGAAGAAAAACTTTATGCAGAGAGGTACAGTCAGAGAACAAAACGGGACAAAACGAAACAAAGCGAAAGAAAACGGCACAGAAACGGTTGAAACGGTTATCAGCTTTGCACCGTTTACCGTCCAGTTTCAGTTTCAGTTCCAATTCCACTGTCTCTTCGAATTTGAATGGCTTGCAGCAGCAGCAGCATTGAGGGACTTGTCAATCACTGCTGAGACTGGACCAATACCAATTGCCCAAACCCCATCCAGCCCCTGTTAGGAGAGTTATGCTAATCACGTCAGCAAGTCGCAGGTGAAGTTGCAGCAACCAAAAAGGCAACTTTAACTTAAGGCTACAAAGAAAGGGGCAAAGTGGCAGTTGGGCCAGTTGGGGGCAGCCTGTGCCGTCTCGTACTTTGCAGGCTTTCCTTTTTCCTTCTTTTTTTTTTTTGTGTTATTTTATTTTTATTATGACATTAAAATTATGGGAGTCGTCGGCTCATCGTCGTTTGCCAGGCCCCAAACCCAAACTTGGGCCGCTTGTGCCTGCATTGAAAATATTTGCACGCAATTGCGGTTTTTAGCAGGCCTCGTCGAGTCTTGACTTGGCCACTGCCTACCCCACTGCCCCCGCTCCGCCCCGCCCCACCGCGCCCTTCGGCAGCAGCTCCAAAACTTTGCCATTTGCATTGTTTGAGCTGTCATTGGCGTCACTGGTGACGACGACGACGACGACGATAGCAGGCCAGGGTTGGGTTAGCGGATTGGTTAGTGGATTGATTAGTGGTTGTAGTTAGTGGGATGCCGTTCCCCATTGCCGTAGCCATAGCCATAGCCATAGCCGTAGCCGTTGACGTTGACGTTTACGTTACGGTTGTAGTTGCCGTAGTTGCTTTTGCCATTGCCATTGCAGCAGAAATTATATAAATTACAAACTTCTCAGTTCTTAGTTTTGTTTGCTCTATGTGTGTCTCTCTGTGTCTCTGTGTGTGTGTGTGTGTGTGTTGGCTGTAAATATTTTCTCTCGACGTGATTTGTTAACATGATAGAAAACTTCATTTTGTAAATTATAGACGCAAACAGACAGGAAAAATAAAGAAGCAAAACAACAACAGCAACAATTTAATGCAGCAACTTTGTAAGCCAAATGCAGAGCAAAAGAATGTGTGTGTGTGTGTGCAGGAGAAAGAGAGAGACAGAGAGAGGGAGAGAGAGGGAGAGAGGTTGCATATTCATTGGGGCCATTTGGTGGCATTGAGGTCGCTAATGGTTGCAATGCTTACTGCTGACAATATATCAACATTGCGGGGCGTAGCTGGGGCCGATATTGCGTATACGACACCGATTGCAACACTGGAGACCGGGCTCCACCTACAGGCCAAGTTGCGTCACTTTTACAAGCTGTGTCCAGCCAATAAATTCGCAAACTTTCAGCCAAATGTTGTTAGGCAAATGTTGCAAAGAGGCAGCAGCAGCAGCAGCAGCAGGCTATGGTAATGAAGACCCCAAATGAAGACCCCAAACAAATGGCAGACAGAACAGCAAGTCGACATTTAATTTGTTAAAAAGGCCAACTAAATGCTGAGCAGAAAAAAAAGAAGAAAAAAAAGAATGACAACTTTGCGACTGCAACAATAACAGCCGTTGTGGGGCAAGGGAGCACAACAACAACAAATCACACAACAAAAAAAAAGAACGAAGAAAAAAATGCTAAAATTATTATATACGAAGAAAATTAGTACGAGTATACAAAACTTTGTTGGCAGTGCAACAATACGCGAGTCGTCGGCCAGAAGTTTGTAAATTCAATTTGAAATACATACAACAGCAACAACAACAACAATGACACAAACAGGCATGCAACCTAGAGTCCATGCCAGCTAACCGGGTCTGTGGCAGTGGCAGTGGCAGGGTGTGTAGCAGTTACTGCTGCTGAGTCCGCTTTGGCGACACTTTGCCTATGCTGCTGCTGCTGCTGCTTTGCTTGATCTTGCTGTGCCTGTGCCTGGCTTCTTGTTGTGCCTAGGCATAAATATTTAATTAACTGCAGCGCATTATTTTAATTAGGTGTAAAACTGCAAAACACACAGCCAGAAAAAACAAAATGAAGTATCAACAACTGCCAACTGGCAACTGGCAACGGGCAACGGGCAACTGGCAACTGGCAGCAGACAGCAGACAGACACTGGTCACTGGTCACTGCTGGCAGTTGGCAGTTGGCAATTGTTGGCGGGGCGAGAGTTAAGCGCTGCTAAAAGCATTTTGGCTTTTGTTCAACGTGAACTGTAACGGCAACTTGCAACTGCAACTGCAACAGTGTCTGTGACAAGCAGCTTTGAATCTGGCGCCTACACGCCTACTTAGCAGCTGCATGCAAAAAAAAAAGAAAGAAGAAAAACCATTTACAATTCACAATAGCCCCATTCACAATGCACGTCTACTTAGCGAGACTTGAGCACTTGTGACCAGATGCAAATAATACATTTGCAATTCACAATAGCCAATTCACATTCACAATTTACACGTCGAACAGTTGCTTAAAAAAAAAAACATTTGCAATTCACAATAGGCAAAAAAAAAAAACAAAATAAAATATACAAAATAATTCGCAATCTATTCAAGAAACTTTCTCAAAATTGTTGGCAATTCTTGAATGCTTTTCTTTTTGCCTTGTTGTTAATTAAATGAACAATCATGTTAAATATACAAACTGTAAATGTTTCTGTATATATCTATATATAATGCGATTAATGCATAAATGCATAGAGAAAGTGCACAGATTCCATATTCCAGTTTCCTTTTTATGCGTGATTTTCGCGCTCACATTTTCCCTTTGCCTTTGCATCCCGCCAGCTTCTGCTTTTTTTAGTCGACGTCTGTTGCTTCTTCTTCATCGTCTTCGTCTTCATGTTCGTCTCTGTTTTCTGCATCTGCTTCTGCTTCTGTTTCAGTTTCAGTTTCAGTTCCTGTTTCTCTTTTCGGTCTGCTGCTGCTGCTGCTGCTGCTTTGGCTGGCGATCACTTGATCACTGTCGTCTTGACCTCAATTTCACAATCTGCCGCTTCTCACACACACACATATATGTATATATATTTACATATATATATATACGTGCATACATATGTATGCATAGGTTGAGTGTGCAAATAAATTGCGAATGCAAGTAAATAAGGCAAAGCGACAAGTAAACTGTAAACTGCCTGTCTGATTCGCTCTGATCGGGATACACACAATCACACACACACACACACACACACATGGAATGGCGGCTGAGAGGCTGTGACGGCAACTGTAACTGCAAATATGCGGGAAGGGGGAGAGATGAACGGAGGAGGGGGGATGCACTGTGCGCAATCGAAATAATAACAAAGACGCCGTGACTTGACCCAATTTCTACGCCCTTTGTTGAGTGTTGCCACTTGATGATAAAGTGAAATTCACACACACACACACACAGAGACACACGGAGACACACACACACGCAGAGACAGACATGTTCACTAGTCATAAAAGTGGAGACTGTAGAAAGACTGCAAATGGCAAATTGCAAATTGCAAATTGCAAACTGTAGACTGAGACTGAGACACTGTAGACACTGTAGTCTGTAGTCTGTAGACTGCAGACTGTTGACTGTTGACGGAGACTGTAGTCTGCACACATATTGGGCACAGTGAGAAGTCGCCTGGCGTCTGCTCGTCGGGTGGAAGGGGGAAGGGGGAAATGGGGTCAACAGTGTGCAAACATTGCTGAAAATAAGCACATAAATGTGTATTAAGATTGGAGTTATATACGCAATATAAATACGCATACACTCAGAGAAAATAATCTAACGCTCGCCTCTCATTGTACAGCAAGCGCATTTCTACAACGAAAATTGTTGTTTTTCTTTCTAATAATCAGGATTTTCTAATTTGAAAGACTTGCAAAAAATTATATCCAATTTCGAATGAAACATATGTATTTTATAGACTTATAAAATTCATTTAGAAAAACTTGTGATTTACAAAATGGAGTTTTTTTTTTCATTGATTTGAGTAAAATGATTTTTTCATATTTTTCATATGCATTTCACATTCTAATTTCAGCTTTTTTTTGAGAAATATGCTGCTAATATCGAGAAACATATTGCTGAAAGCTAGAAAAAAAGCTTTACTAATTTTTAAACATTTTCAAAACTTCAGTTTTGAATCTTTTCTATATAACGAGTTAATAAGCAGCATTTGCACTTGGTTATATATCATATATATATATATATATAGTTATAGCGATGGGGCAGGGCTGAATTTACAAGTATGCTGCAAGTATTTATTTATTTATATATATATTTTTTTTCTTTGGATCTTTGCAGAGCACACCCTGCAAACATCCCGTCATACTGCTGCAAGATGTTAACTTTATGGATCTGCACTCGCTGGTCGAATTCATCTACCACGGCGAGGTCAACGTGCACCAGAAGTCGTTGCAGTCCTTCTTGAAGACAGCCGAAGTGCTGCGCGTCTCGGGTCTCACACAGCAGCAGGCCGAGGATACGCACAGCGTAAGTGGCAACTATTTAACTGTTTGCATAATCCACAAGAGTCCAATTACAATGCTGCACACCTTACAGCACCTGGCACAGATACAGAATTTGGCCAATGCCGGCGTTCGCACGCCCCTCAACACACACACGCATCATGGGGCGCTGCACGATGATGGGGCTGCCACATTGTTCAGCAGTCGCCAGACGGGCGGCGCTGCCTCACCGCCGCCGCCGCCGCCGCCACAAATGCCGCATCTAAATAATCATCTGTTGAAGCGCATGGCAATGATGCATCGCAGCAGCGCCGCTGCCGCCGCATCCGTCGTCGAGGAGACATCGCATGCGCTGAAGCGTCTGCGCTGCGCCGACAACGGTCTGCCCAACAACAGTAACAATAACAGCCCAGATTTGCAGCTGCATGCGCGCAGCGTGTCGCCCCAACTGACGCCGGCCGACTTCAGTACGATCAAGCACCACAACAACAACAATACGCCGCCCCTCAAGGACGACAAACGTGAGTAGAGCGCCCCAATCTCCGAGAGAGAGAGTGAGAGAGAGAGAGAGAGAGAGTGAGTCAATGTATCAATATCTGTGTCTCTTTTTTGGCATGCAGGCAATGGACCCACTGGCAACGGCAATGCTGGCAACGCTGGCAACAACAATTCGGGCAACAACAATAACAACAACAGCAACAACAACAACACAAATGGCAGCGGCAACGGCAACGGCATCTCGATCAGCGACAAATTGGGCAGCCTCAACTCATCGCCAATGGCTCGAGGCGTCGACGATGTCAAATCGGAGCCAATGGAGCTGGTCTGCTCCAATAATAATGCCAATAGCAATGTGAATGATGAGCACAGCAACGATTCAACTGGCGAGCACGATGCCAATCGTTCCAGCAGCGGCGATGGCGGCAAAGGCTCCTTGAGGTATGTTCAATGCTGCAAACTTGCAACTGCAACTGCAAACTGCAACTGCAACTGCAACTGCAAACTAATCAATTCGTTGTGTTGCAGCTCGGGCAATGATGATGAGATCGGCGATAATCTGGCCGCCCACCATGCCGCACAGCCGTTCATCATGTCGCCAGCTGACAACAAACTGTTTCCCGGTGCCGCATTCAACTTTCCGATGGGCAATCTCGATCACTCAGCCTTGCTTGGTGCGTACACAAATCACACACACACAGATATCACAGATATCACAGATATTTTATATATATATATATACATATATATCTAACGCAAAATATACATTTTTGTACCTTTCGTTTCGTCCTTCTTTGAACAAACAAACAAACAAACAAACAACAAATGCAGGTCTCAATCCACAACTTCAACAATCTGGCGAACTCGCTGCCTCTCCACAAGGTGAGTCCGAACATTTCTCTATTTACTCTATTGTTTCGCTCTATTTGCGCTCAAAAGCTCATTATTACATTTTTTACATCAAATGCAACAACCAAAAAAAAAAAAAAAAAAAAAAAAAAAAAAAAACAATTTTTTAAAAAGCAAAACAATACCCAATAAATTAATTACCAATGAGAAAAAAAAAAAGAAGTTCTAGAAATCCAAGTATTTTAACGTTGAAGAAATGTGTCTGTATCATTTGTTTTACTTGAAAAAAAAAAAAAATATATAATAATAATAATAATAAATAAACATACTTACATATGTACGTACATACATGCATATAAATCGGCTATATATATGTGTGTTGATTACAATTTCATTTAACTTTTGATTTATTTTACCTACACGAATATTTTTTATTTGATTTCATTCGATAATTTTTGTCAGTCATTTTCAATTTGATTTTGAAAGTAAACCAAGATACTAAATGTCTAACCAAAGGTGGTCTGCGGCCAGTCAGACTGTCAGACTGTAGTAGTGCTACAGGGTATATCTTGCATAATACTCACATAATAATAACAATCGAATCTATCGAATATATCGAATACCAGTCATCGACTCGGGGCCACCTTTGCTGTTGGACCAATTATTGCATTGCAAACACACGTAAAATCCAACAAAAACAAAAACATTTAAACACTGAAATATAATAGATATTTTTCAGTTTTCCAATTTGCTATTTTTTTCATATTTTTTTTTTTTGTAAACGTTTTTTTTCTGTATTTTTTTTTTTTTTTTTTTTTTTTTTGCATCTTCAAGTCTAACAAAAAGTATATAAATAAATTTCTTTCTTGTTTGATTGTTTCGATGGGAAATGTTTTCATTTATATTTCCGTCCACTCGTAAAGACAACTAGTAAAATGAAAATGAAAATGAGAATGAAAATTAAAAAGGAAATGCAATAGCCAAAGAACAATAGAAAGCTATAGAAAGCAGTTAGCCGTAATAATCATATGTATAACAAACCGCCACATTCTGATGTTGATGAAGATTTCGATGAAGATATCTTGCATATATACAAAAAAAAAAAGAAAAAAGGAAAAAAAGAAAAGAAAAGAAAAACGAAGAAGAAGAGAAATTAACAAAAAGCTAAGAAAAGAAATCAAAATTGAAATCGAATCACAATCATAAACCAAACATTAAACAGCAAACACTAGCAAACCAACCAAGCAACCAACCAATTGGCCATTCCAGATTACTTAAACTCCTGCAATTCTCCCACAACATCTAACTGAGTCTGTGTGTGTGTGTGTTAGGCTGTGTGTGTGTGTGTGTGTGTAATGACATAAAACTAATGAACTCCGCCACTGACAGCTTGGGCAGCAGCAGTGTTTAGCAAAAATGCACTGTTTTTGAATATGTGGCAAACATTTTAATTGCCGCTGTTATCCTGCGGTTAGGCCACAACAATTTGCCACTAGTCTTGCCCCTGCCACGTACATACATCGCTATCTAGCCGTGTGCACAACTAAAACCAGTTTGGAAAAAGCTTTGCGGCTTTGCGGCCTGTCCCCGCCCCCGCCCCCGCACCGCCCATCTAAAACATTATTATGCGTAGTTAATGGGGTATGTACATACATACATACATAGTACATATGTACACCTACATCAGGGATGTAGATAATTAATGAACACGTCTAACGCCTGGGGGCAAGCAGCGGATTTTGGGTTTGGATTTAGCCAAATCAGAATTATGATGTTGTTGTTGTGAATGGAAAGTGTCTCGCTCTTTGTAGTTTTGCGGAGGGATTTTCTCGATTGATTTTGGTTTGGATTTTGGCTCAGTGTTTGCTGCTTAATTGTTGTTGCGCCCAGCTTTTTTTTTGCGAGAAGTGCTTAACAAATTTATTTTCATTATTTTTTTTCTTTCGTCTTTAAGTTTTTGAGTTCATTTGGCTTACTTCATGTTCGCACACATGTCAAATCAGCAGATACGTCTATATCCGTCATATATATGCCACATTCGATTCTTGCTCGCTCGCTCTCTCTCTCTCTCTCTCTCTATCTCTCTCTCTCACTCCTTCTCTCTCTCATACACACACCCAATCGCTATCTCTTTCTGTCATACACGAAACTTAGAAAGTTAGTTTGAACAGAGAATAGACTCGAATGCAGCCAAATCCAGTTAAGAATCAAAGTTAACAAAGTCTTAAAAGAAATCTTAGCAATCGCAGCAAGTGTTTCACATATATCTATATATATATATATATATATATATGTTTTTCGTATATATTTTTGTTTCCTTAACATTTTTCCATTTTCCATTTTCCATTTCCATTTACGTTTTTCGTTTTAGTTTCGTTTATTTGTGTGCTAATTTTGTATTCGTATTTAAAACCGTTACCAAAATGTTATTACCTGCATTCTATACATACATGCATACGTACATACTTACATACATACATACATACATACCTAAATAGTTACATATTTGTGCTCATTCATACATCAAATCAAATTCATTAGTCTTTTGTCATTTGTTTTCTGTCTTTTGTTTTTTTCGTTTGTTTTGTTTTTTGGTTCATGTTGACCATTTCTGTTTCCGTTTCCGTTACTGTTAACTGTTGCTGTTATTGTGAAGGCTCAAATGTTATAATTCTCAAGAACAGCAGACTCTGAGAGACTGTTCCCATGTTCATTTTACCCACTTCCATCATCATTTCAAACAACATCTCAATTTTTAAGGAGCAAAAAAAAGCAGCTTTTTACTTTCAATGATCCCATTTTCCATATTTTGTTGTTTGTTGCTTCACTTTGGTTTATTATGTTAACAACAACTATTGTTTAGTATCAACAACAACAACAATAACAACAGCAACAGCAACAACAACAGCAACCATAACACAGGAACAACAACAATAACAATTACATTTTGCAAAAATCATTATTTGTTGTAATTTTTTTGTTGTTTTGGTAAAATGCAACGCATTATATAAGATCGATCGAATATATACTTATATATATATTATGTATTGAATTTTCATTTACTTTGTACGTCGTCGTGCTTGTGTCTAAAACTAAGTATACCAATTCTCCAAGCCAAATTTTACCCCGCCCCCACCCACGCCCGCTTCCCACAATCCAAAGCCCTCCCCCCTGCCCACTCAAACCCCAACCCCCCCCTCCACTCAATGACCATAAACAGCAAAAGCAAAAGAAAAGCTTCACGTATACGTATTTGCATTGAAACAAATTTAAACTAAAACAAAAAAAAAAAAAAAAAAAACAAAAAAAAAAAAAATACAAAAAAACAAATTATAAAACATAAATTGCAACTTTATTTGTTAATGTGTCTTTCGTTGAATTGTTTTCAATTAATTCCGACTTCTTTTCGCATTCGTTCCTCTGCAACCGAATAACCAACAAAAAATATATGGCATCAAAATTACAAAATTACAAAATTACAAAATTATCGAGACAATGTTTTCGAGTACGAAACAAGAGCTAAACGCATATCATTTTTATTTGCACATCAATCAAACAGCATAAAAAACAAAAACACACACACACACGCACACACACACACACCTATACATATACATATATATATATCTATATATATATATATACATGCATAAATGTATACTCTCTTGAAAAAGTGCAACGAATTTTCTCATCTTACAAAATTGTCGTATGTATCCCAAGCCTCCGCTCCGCTCCGTTCCGCCCCGCCCACACACATGTATATATATATATATGTACAATCAATATATGCATACATATATATGTATATCGATATTTGGCCCCACGTTTTTGTCGTGGTCTCCCCACACAAAAGAGCACACAAAGATTTGAACCTAAGACCTGGCAACTACTACGAATACAGCAAAGGGGGTTCGGGGATTGGGTGGGCTGAGCCCAATCGGGTGGTTGACTAATCGGTTAATCGGCTAATCGGTTATCTGTTTAATTGTATAATTGGCAAATCGAATGTGAACATATGCATAGAATCGAAACGAAATGAAATGAAATGAAACACAATGAAATGAAATGAAATGAAGAAGAAAACTGCACAGCAATTGGCATTTGTATACATATGTGGCACTTACTTGCGAGCTAAATTCCAATTCCAGTCAGTTCAGGCGATCGTTGAATATGTGGTACATATGTACCTACTGTACGTACTATGTGTGCACATATGTACCTACTGTAAGTACTACTTCGTGTACCTACTGTACATGGTATGTGTACATATGTACCAACTCTACGTACAATGTGTATATATGTACCTACTGTACATACTATGTGTGTACCTACGGTAGGTACTACTGTGTGTGCCTACTGTACGTACTACTGTGTACTTTTGTCGTCTGTGTGTATGTATAAGGGAAGCCTATACTTTCACATACATTAATATACGCATACGCCAACACACACATACACACACACACACACACACACACCCGAAACGCATACACGGAAAGCAGGTGAAAAATTATATAAAATTCTATAAAGCAGACAACAACAGCAATAACTCAAAACACATGCACACAATGGTCTTGGTCCCCAAAAAAAAACAACAACAAATAAAGCCCACACACTCACACACACACAAATGCACACACAAAAGCACACACACAAACACAGCCACTGGTCAAACGAAAAGTGTTCTCCAATGTGTATCGTGTACCGTTTATTAGCGATTGCGAGTCAGCCCATTCAATCTGAAAATACCCAAGAAAAAAAGCCACAAGCAAAAACAAAAACAAAAGCAAAAGCAAAAACAAAAGCAAAAGAAAACAATGCATAAAATGCAAGCGAGCATTTTTTGATTGGTGCTAAACGAGGCGCTCGAGATCACTACTAATCCATATACATTCGCATATATCCCAGTCACACACACACACACACACTCACACACACACACATACATACATTACATACATACACGCATACATACATACACGCATACATACATACACGCATACATACATACACGCATACATACATACACGCATACATACATACATACATACATATATATATATATATAAACATACACATATATATATATATATATACGCATACAATCTGTAGCAGCTGAAAACTAACTTCAATGATAACTAACGCTATATGTACCTATTTACTTTCCAATTAAATACTAACCGTTTGAATACAACAACTACTCTCCAATTACCAACGAAATTAGAAATGATTAGAGAAGAACAAGCAATGAATGAAAACAACACACACATACAAATATAATACATAATACATAAGCGATGAGATCCATTCAACAGTTACACAAATACAAAATACAAAATACAAAATACAAAATACAAAATACAAAATACAAAATACAATTACAACTATTAGTAATAATTACAATTAGTGAACTCATGTTAAATGCGCTTTACAAAACAGCCCGAAATACATTTAAGAAATTACTTACAGTTACACACACACACACACACACACACGCACACACGCACGCATATACTCTAAATTACACTTGAAAAAAAATACAAACACAAAGATACAAATCCAATTACCAAATACCAAATACAATAAGCAATAAGCAATCAATTAGCAAAGTAAAACAATCGAAAGCTTCACGTATTTAATTGATGGAAATTGATCGCTTTGATTTACGCTCCCTCTATATATATATATATATATATGTATATATATATGTAGAGAGAGATATATGTACATTTGTCGCTACATTTTCCTATAATTTATAAAACACACATGCACAAAACATAAACATAAAAAACATAAACATAAAAAACATAAACATGAAAAACATAAACACAAACACAAAAAGAAAACAACAACAACAACAACAACAGCAACAGCTTAGAACTTAATTTAATTTCGTATGCAAACCGAAATTGACTAATTTTAAGTTGATTAATTGGTGCCCAAGTTAAGCAAGACTGTAAAATATTATTCAAGTTAAGTTTAAGCACACCCACATTGGCCAAATCAATACCACCAATAATTGATGATAATAATTGACTGTACCCTGTACCCTGTACCCTGTACCCAACCAATCGAACAATCGAACAATCGAATTGCACAGCATTCACAGCCAGTATGCGTACATCACTCAGTTATGTACATCATCATCAACATCATCAACATCAGCATCATCAGCATCATCTTCTTCATCATCGATAAACCGAAAAAGACATCATTTGAAGTATGATAAATCGAATCAAAACCTTTCTTCATTGAAAACATGAAAACAGCATTTAAATTTGAGAATCAAAAAAAAAAAAGAAGAAATTCGCAACTGTTTTCATCATTTTTAGTTCGTTTTCCAAAATTGATGTTTGCTGTGCAATTATAATAAGTAAAAAAAAAAACAAAACAAATCCATTTGTATTATGTCTAAGTCAGAACGAATTCGAATAATTTTATATATATGATGATACACCTAATTATAACCAACAAGGGAAAACCAACACACAACAACAAAGTCCACAACAACAACCCTGCCAACCCTGCCAACCCCCAAACCCCAACTTCCGCCAACTCAACACACACACACAAAAACCGACTCGAAAAAAGAACAAGCTAATTAAAATCAGAAACATTTTGACATCAATGTAAACAAATTTTGATGCACAAAGTAATTTAATTGAAATAAAATTGCTAACCTAAAACTCGACGTGAAAAAAGAAAAAGAAAAGAATGAAAAAAGAAAGCAATTTGGGAATGGTTTATTTTTAGTCCTTTATTTAAGTGACACACACACACACACGCACACACGCACACTCGAAGTACATATATGTTTATGTATGTATATGTATATATATATACACACACGCAACAACAACCACAACAACAACAACAGCAACCACAGCAACAACCACAGCAACAACAAGAACAAATCCAGCAGCAACAACAAGAACAAGAAAGAAGCTAAGAATTATTATGGTGATGGTGTTTA